GATAGATAGATAGATAGATAGATAGATAGATAGATAGATAGATAGATCTACCTCTGCTGCCTTCCCATTGTAAAGCCTGAAGTGGTTACAAGCCTTAAGATTCAGAGCAATCGTTGAGTCAGGGATGCTCTGCAGGTACACAGCCAACACTTCCTGGGATACGTCATAGTAGTCCAGTTTGTAGTAACACAGAGCCACGTACACTTTCAGAGCCAAGAAATCTCTGCAGACACAGGAGGTATTGACATAGTAAACTGTTTGTTGCCTTGTTCATGCATCCAGCGCGTTCATAAATATTTTATATGATTCATTTGTCATCCATTTCAATAAATAATTGGCCACTGTTAGTCAAACTATTGGTAAAGTAGAATGTTTTCAAAATTTCAAAAACTCTTTTTTCAAATGTTTTCCTTTAATGTGTGTAAGATCACCAACAGTGTGAACTTAGGATGTTATGTCATTCTTTGACCACTTACAATGTAAAGCAAATATCTGAAGACTAGGACTGAGTAGTACGAATACGTAAGAATAACTTCAAAGTCGAATGGAATGAGAGGGATTGGTTTAGATTGGTATCTCATTTAATTGGACTGTACAGAATTGGATTTCTACTAAACTGGTTTAATTCCTTTGAAAAGACACTGAAGCCCTTGGTCTTAAGGCTTTTTTTGTTTATTCTTTTTCTCGAGTTTAATTTGTTGGCATTCCAACTTGAAATAACATATTTTTTTGCCATATTGATTTAAATCTCTTATGGAAAATTCAAGTTTACTCACTAGTTCCCCATTGTCCATGTCGGCACTCATAAGCCACACATGACACAAAGTCATGATGCTACAAGTTGATATTTCTAAAAATGACTCATTTATCTTGGCAGGTAAAACTGGTTCTGTCTTCAATTTGAATAAAAAGAAGTTTTTCTCACATATAGGCGCTCAGACAGTTTTTGCTGATCTCACATCAAAGTTTTGCAAGTTTGCTCGTTTGCAATGTGAATTTTGTTGCACAAGAATAAATTACACACATAAACATCATCATATTATCTTACTTATTTGTATAAATTCTAGTGATATTTTTTTCTAAATAGCATTTTACTAAATGTCATCTGAAAAATGTTTTTATTTTATGAGATAGATATAACATCCCACAGCTGTAGGAGGAGTTCAAGAACAAAAACTAAAGTCATTCTTTAAAATGGCTGATATTTGACCTGTCCAGGATGCACCCCACCTCTTGCCCAGTGGTAACTGGGATGGGCTCCAGCCCCACTGAGACCCTTATATGAATAAGAAACTAATTGTTGATGCTTCAATTAAAAAACAATAGGATGCGATTCATTTGTCAATCAGATTTTCTGATTTACTGATTTTCAGTCATTGCCAAGCAGACAAATCATCGGATCAAATGCATGGTATAATTTCCGGATCAAATTTTTAGATAATGTTCTCATCACTATTTCAGACTAAACTTCATTCAAATCTAAAAAGAGAGGGATCTGAAGTTTTTACGAAAAAATGACACTTTAAAAGTCACAGACCTGTGCTCCAGCAGTAAGCGTTTATAGATCTCTATTGCCTCCTGATAGTGTGAACGCATGTAGTGAATCGATGCCAGGCTCAACTGGTCCTCTGTCACATCCTCCAGGTTCTGGTGGAAACCCATGAGTTTTTTCTCATCGTTAAACTGACAAGACAGACAATGAGGTAAGGTCATTTTAAGGGTTTACGTCAAGATTAGAACGACAGAGTTAAAGACAATAAAAACATATTTGGGAACAAACAGGTGTCAATTTGAATTTTCTTTCAGGTTAGAGTTCCATAAAAAGCATGATCGATGAATATCACAGGACGAATAAAGGAAAATACATGACAGTGTAATAATATTATCAGAATGGTCAAACCTTGTGAGCCAAGTGAAATAAGAGTCGGTTCTGGAGGGGCGACATTGGTGCTACAAAAGCAAAAGAAAAAACAATATTTATTTGACTATATCTATATAACAGCATATCTAAAACAAGGCTTTCAGATCTATTATACAATACTATACATATATATATAAATATATAAGATTTTTTTCTTCTTTTGTTGTGTATGTCTGTATGAGCCTTAGAGTAATGTACAACATGTTTACTTTTGCTGCATATAATAATTAAAGGTTTGCTGAATGAATTTTAGATTAATAAAGCTGACCACAAAAGATAATGTAGCGCACTCCTGGGCCACCTGTTGTGAACCCAAGTGTGAAAAAAAGGAAGTGCTTTCCTGTCTCTTCATGCCGTTTTGACCGATTCACATCGGGCATTTCACTAAGACGATAGAAAATTGTGTCAACCTGTTGCACAATGTTATAACATGCATCCTTAGAATATCAAATACAGTATGTAGATTTTGATGTTTCCAGTTTCCATTTTCAACACTAAACTGGCCTTAATATGGCACACTATTTGTAAAAAATAAAATTCAATGCCTTTCTTATTAGACACAGCCAGAGTAAATCGGCGCAATATCTACACTTAACACTAAACACTGCTGTGTAATGCAGTCCTCTAACCACCAAACCCCACCACCCACCTCTTGTGGTGCATTTCAGGAAAGCACAATCCCTACCTTTTGATGCAGCCTCCTCAGCGTCCTTATAGAGCCCCAAAAAAAATAAGGCACAGGCAAGGTAGACCCACACCTCAAGCGGACAGTCTGGTTTCATGCTCAGTGATTTGTACTCCTGATGGACCACACAAAAACATTTGATTGCTCACCTATCTGATTGGTACTAATTCTTTCTTTTTTCAAAATGTTTGATTTAGGGTACGCTCTAGGTTTTTAAATTTTATGTAGCCAACGAAAGACAGTAAAATTGACACAGTTAATTGGGACGCATCACCTCCATAGCTCTCTTGTAGTCCCCCAAGTGAAAGGCACAGTAGCCAATCCAGAGGTTGGCACGTTGGTCTTTCTCCCCGATGCTTCCCTGAAACTGAAGGTGGCACAGTAACAAATCAGGAACAGCAGCATGTGAACAAAATATCGTTTAGTGTACAGTAGAATGTAACTCTGTGTCCACAGTGCAATTAAAGGATATAAAAACTTGCATCACTTCTGTTGAAACTATCTGATGAACTCTGAATGCAAAGCTTGTTAAGTGTCAGTTACATGATCTTTAAATGCATCATATTTTAAACTGTTGAACACATTTTAAGTTTGGTAAAATGATATACCTCCAACAAAGTCAAGGCTCCAAGGTAGTCTCTCTGCTGGAGGTACTCCTCCAAAGTGGGAACTTTTGATTTGTTTTTCTTCTTTTTTTCACCGACGTTCACTGGTGTCTCTCCTCCCACAGCTGGCTTCACTCGTGACAGAATCTGTCAGAGTACATCGTTTGAATTTCTCAGATTAATACAAAACCTCATGCCTGTTGGTGGATTTAAGTGGCTATTCCAACTGTTACGCACCAACAACAAAACAATGTAAAATATATTCATCCTTAGTGGAGATAAACTCTTAATGCATTTGCCCTAAGTTAAAAAAAAAAAAACGTTTCCTTACCATTTCAACGAATATCCCACGAAAAGGTTAGTGTTGCCCAAACCTGTTTTATCGATAACCTAGGTAACTGTGAAAACACAGATTTTAGCTATCTTCGGTTTCCCTGGCACGTTTTAGTATATGCTCACATCCAAAGCCAATGAAAGCGAATTCTAGAAATTAGTATCAGCATAAATTGAAATATCCTTAAAAAAAACTGCGATTGTATTTGTAAAACAAAATGTAATCTTTTTTTAATGTCGTGGACAAATGAGTTGAAAAGTCTCTTGGCGTTGTTAGCTAGCTGAAGGTTTGCCTACTAGAGTATACATGACTATTTCCGCTACTGGATTTTCAGAATGCAAGCACGAGAGTTTGGAAATACTTTTCAACATCTGTTCCTGGTTCCTCTGTTCCGTTTTTTAACGCGATAACCCTACCCTCTTTGTCAACCAGGGAATATTCGAAGTTTGTCACGGTAATAATATCCATAACATTGTGTGGTATTGCTTTCTCTAGGCATTTATTTTGTAAGTCAAAACGTTATGGCACTTCAAAGGGAAACTGCTGCTAATAGTTTTATTTACCTTGACAAACCAGAGTTTATCATTTGTTGCGTAGCAACCAACTCCAACCGTGTTCTGAAATGGTTGTCGCGGTGATGTTTGTAATTATGATGTTTTTTTTATTTTTATATTCATTTTTTTAGATAAGGAACAATAAAATGTACACATGAATAGATATAAAATCTGTTTACATTTTTGGAAACTGAAAAAAAGGAAAACTAATTGTGTTGTTAAATTCTTTCATGACAGCAGCCCTCACAGTAGGCATGAAATAATTAAATACACATTGAAAACATTAAATATATTTGTAAATAAAAGTTTTCCTTAATTACACACACACACATATACAGTCATGGCCAAAAGTATTGAGAATGACACAAATATTATATTTTCACATGATCTGCTGCCCTCGTGTTTTCATGCGTGTATGTCAGATGTTGTTATCACAAACAGAAATGCAATCAATGCTTTAATTCTGTCAGAATTCCTAGGTTTTGGTTTTTCCACCCATCTCTTGATGATTGACCACAAGTTTTCAATGGGATTAAGATATGGGGAGTTTCCAGGCCATGGACCCAAAATCTCTATGTTTTGTTCCCTGAGCCAGTGAGACATATCTTGACAGAATAAATAAACAAAACTGTAGACATTTTTGCAAATTTATCAAGAGAAAAACTGAAATATCACATTGTCATAAGTATTCAGACCCTTTGCTCAGTATTGAATAGAAGCACTCTTTTGAGCTAGTACAGCCATGAGTCTACTTGGGAATGATACAATAGTTTTTCACACCTGGATTTGGGGATCCTCTCCAGTTCTGTCAGGTTGGGTGGTGAGCGTTGGTGGACAGCCATTTTCAGGTCTTTACAGAGATTCTCAGTTGGGTTTAGGTCAGGGCTCTGGCTGGGCCAGTCAAGAATGGTCACAGAGTTTTTTCCAAGCCACTCCTTGGTTATTTTAGCTGTGTGCTTAGGTCATTGTCTTTTTGGAAGGTGAACCTTCAGGTCGTGAGCACTCAGGAAGAGGTTTTTCTTCCAGGATATCTCTCTGTTTGGCCGCATTCATCTTTCCTTCAATTGCAACCAGTTATCCTGCCCCTGCAGCTGCAAAACACCCCCAAAGCATGATTCTGCCACCACCATGTTTCACTGTTGGGATTGTATTGGGCGGCTGATAAGCAGTGCCTGGTTTTCTCCGCACATACTGCTTAGAATTAATCTGTGCCTTGCCAGAACTCTGTCTCTGTGCTCTTTGGGCAGTTCCTTCAACCCATGATTCTTGTTTGCTCTGACATGCACTGTGGGCTGTTAGGTCTTATATAGCCAGGTGTGTGCCTTTCCTTATTAAGTCCAATCTATTTAATTAAACACAGCTGGACGGAGCAGATCCATCTCAAGGAGGATCAGAAGAAATGGACAGCATGTGAGTTAAATATGAGTGTCACAGCAAAGGGTCTGAATAATTATCACAATTTGATATTTCAGTTTTACTTTTCTAATAAATCTGCAAAAATATCTACATTTCTGCTTTTTCAGTCAAGATGGGGTGCTGAGTGTACATTATTCGGAAATAAAATTAACTCTTTTTATTTTAACAAATGGCTGCAATGAAACAAAGAGTGCAAAATCTAAAACATAGTTGAAGGCACTGGGTGTTCTCCGTCACTTATTTACCAGTAGAAATTAGTGTATTCCCAATTTGTTAATAACTGCCTTCCTATTAATGATGACATTTCTGTGGGTCAACAGAAACCTGGCTAAAACTGTCAATACAACAAATGGGTTTGTAGCCTATTCTGCCATCTTGTGTGGGAATAGTGGAACTGAAAGAGAATGTTGGAGTATTCCAGCTCATCATGTGTACTGTACTGTGTCCTAGCAGCCTGTCCAGGGTGTATCCTGCCTCTTGCCCCAGTTAGCTGGGATAAACTCTACACTGTATTGTAAATAAGCAGGTACAGGTAAAGTCGGGTCAAAGTCTCTGTTGAAAAGCCCTGCAGAAAGACATGGCTGCTAACCTCAGCTATTTAATGCTGGGGGATATTGTGGACGAAAAATAATCCAAATGTGAGAGACTGTTCACTTAAATTAGTAATGTCATTAGTGCGACCAGTGAATTTAATGGCAGTTTAAATAAAGTATTCTTTGTTCAGTTTAGTTCATATTTGGTTATGTTTTTTTCAGTATAGTTATTCAGAGATACAATGCTACTTCTCAATTTGGTCTAATTTTATTTTATTTTTTATCCCATTTTTAAAATCTTATGTGTTATTGTTCATTTGATGCTGTATTTACTCAATTATAAGATCCAATAAAGACAGCTGATTATTTCATGCAGTGCGTGTTTATTGTAGGGTGCGTACTTTCTTAACTGTACAGCATCAAGCAATAAATACTGAGCAACCCTTCATTAATTTCAATTACATAAAAGATCCATCCTTTAAATGTTTTAATTGGTCTGGAATGATAGTTCACCATGTTATCCAGTTGACTTCTAAAAATGGTGGCAGCTGTTTTGTCCATTGTCAGGCTGGTCTTTTTATCTGACCATTTTCAGAGGAATGCTCTTTCTTCTTTTGTTGTTAAGTCACTCAACCTTATTTGACCTATTATATATATATATATATATATATATATATATATATATATATATATATAATTAATAAAGCATAATACATGTACCTAATTCCTCATTGTTTCTACACAGAGAACCAAGGTTTCAAATGTCCCTAGCAATGCACGAGAGAAAGTAAGACTGTGCAACACCTTTGCGCATTGTTGTAAAGAATGTTCCCACAAACTATGGACAAGCTCTTTTGGAAAATATTTTTGTTTGCAACACAATAGTTGTTAAAATGTCATACGGTGGAATTCTAAAAATGCTAATGTGACAGTGACACCAAGCTCATGATCTTGGTGGGAACATGTATGCAAGTCTTTGAATTTGGAAACGCAGTCAAACAATACAGGATGAAATCTACCACTGGGAAGCCATCTACCACCGTCATCAGTTTCATAAGTACCATGCAAATAAGTTGCCACAGGAAGGATTGTCTATGACATGCAAACATTAGTCATGAGTTGAGTGACGATCTGATTTTAAAAAACAAATTGCATTTGCCTTGCGGGTGGCAAAGTAGGCAAGTAAGTACAAAAAAAATCACTGTACATCCTCCAATTGTTTCTTTAAAGTGTAAAGTTAACTTTAAGTTAAAAATCAAATGACAAAACATGTACACAAATAAAACATAAATAATACCAAATTATGATTATACAAATATTCTTAGGCCTCATGCCCCATTAGTAGGAGGTTTATGAGACTCTCTTCTGTTCAGCTTCACAGTCAATAGGAAGTGATATGATCTATGAAATAATCCCAGATCCCCAGTTCAACTGGCCCTTTGCCCCTTACTCTGACTAACATAATCTCATATGAGGTGGTCTCAATCACCAGGATTTTCCACTCCTGTAAAGTTGGACACAGATGATTTCCAGTGTCCTAATATGACTCAGGAGGCTGATGTTATTCCAACCTTAAGAACTGAATATGCACTTTTTATTAAAGTTGGAGTTTCAGTTTTATCACCCTGTAAACATAATCCTGGAGACATTGGTAGAGCTATGCCTGCCCATTTCTCTGGTCTGACCCTGGGGCATTCCCATATAAGAGGCTACTATTCGACAGTCCTATATTTTATATTATGAACATTCTTTTAAAAACACAGTTCTTCCTCTAATTGTTTCTTTTAAGTTTAAGTTAAAATTGGTTTTGAAAAAATAAATACATTTTTTTTAAAAACTTTTTTTGCAATTAAACCTTTCTCTGCAAAAGGGCAAACAACACAGAACCAGAAGTTCAACCAGGACTTGTATTCACATGCTGTGTCTCTATGTGGAATGGAAATATATTTCCAAATCAAAATGCCTTCCTGGGGCGCTTTGCAAGCTTAATTTGGCAATTTGCAAATAAAAACAGCAGAGCCATGCTCTGTTTTACGTACAATACTAACGCCTAACAATTCAATTCTTGGGCGGCACGGTGGTGTGGTGGTTAGCTCCGTTGCCTCCCAGCAACGGGTTTGAGTCCCAGGGGACCCAGGACCTTTCTGGGTGGAGTTTTCATGTTCTCCCTGTGTTTGCGTGGGATCTCTCCGGGTTCTCCGGCTTCCTCCCACAGTCCAAAAACCTCCATGTTAGGTTGATTGGACATTCCAAATTGTCCTTAGGAGTGAAAGGTTGTTTGTCATTGTATGTCGTGTGTGTGTCATACTTTATCAAAGTATGTGTTGATTAAAGTATGAGATGCAGCTAAACAGAACCCTATTGCAGGAAAAATTATGATTTAAGAAGAGAATCAAACAAACAATGAAACAGTAAACAGTAAAATCAATACTAATGAAAAATAGAAAAGCACAACCACAAAGCACAACAACAAACACCATAAACACTGAATATGGCACTTCCCTTTTTTTATCTTTTTAAAACTTCTATCACTGTTTTTTCCCCCATTTAATTCCTAACATCAGAGCAGTTTAATTTTTTTCATCCATCTTAAATTCTCCTTACCTTTACTCTTAAAATGAATATATTCTGAATAACAAATTAAAAACTAAATCTAAAGCAAGATATAATGAAACGATATGTTCAATATCTTACTAATCTTAATCCTTTGACTTCCACCTAGCAAAAACTTTCAAATCTTCAGCAGACATCTTATTCAGATGTATGGAAATTATTTTCCCTCGCTCACCATTTCAGTCCCAGGCAACAAGTACAAAAATTCCAGTCATCTTCCTCCTGCACA